TATAATTATAATTATAAAATAATAACTTTATATTATATTAAAAAAAGTAAATAATTTATTTAATTTTTTAAAATATAGCCAAGTACTTATCAAGTACTTGTTATAAATATTTATTAAATATTTATATTAAGTACATTTTAAATATTTATATCAAGCACTTATTAAATACATTCCAACATATTTTATATTCAGTAAGTATTTGCAACAAAGTACTTAGAAGTACTTGACAAGTACTTGGTTATACGTCGTGATGTAGTTATATATTATAGCTATAATAGCAAGTTAGTTTATTTACAAAAGATTGTATTTATTAAAAGTAATAATAAATCTATTAATTGTTCTAAGTTCTTTAAATTCTTTTAATAGTTTTTCAATATATTCTAATATTTTAGTTTTTATAAATTTCTTAGTTAATTCTTTAATTTCTTCTTTGAGTATTTCTTAATTTATTAATAATGATATCAGAATCAATTTTAAATATATTCATTTATATATTGATTCAATATCTATTTTTTTAAAAGTATTAAGGTTTTATATTTTTCAAGTAAATTTTGTAATTTCTCTTTTCAAAATTTTTTAGTTTTGGGTATTAACTCTTCTTCTTGTTGTTTTAGAGTTAATAATTCTTTGGTTTATTTGATAATATATATGTTTTGGTATTAACAAATAGTTTTTAAGTTAGAATACTTCTCCTAAAGTATATATACTTGTATGTTATTATTAATTTTGTTATTTATTACTTGCTAGAATAAGATTTGATATTGTATATTAATATATACAATTGTGTTTCTTGTTAAAGTTTCTATGAATAATAAGTGTATAGCTAAATAGTATCTTTTAGTATTTTAGTTCCTATAAAAAAAGTTAAAATAGAAAAGTACGAAAAAATACATGGAAAAATAACTAGGAAAAATATGTAAAATACCCGGAAATTAGTATGTAATTTACAGGTAATTTTGCACTTTTTTAATAGTCTTTTTACATGCAAAATTACATGTTCCAAACATAGATAATGTACCATTTATGTATATTCAAAGCATATAATTTTATATAAAAAAGTAATATATAGTTATTATATTTATTATTAATCTTTTATATTTAATAATAATAAATTAAATTAATTAATATATGATATTTTTTATTAATATAATTTACTAAATTTTATTTATTTAAAAAATCTTAATACTAATAATTATTTTAACTAGTTATATATAGCAAAATGAATTTATTAAAAGGCAATATAATTATTCAATTATACATAATAGTTTAATACTACTATTTAAACTCGATAAGATATAGATTGACTTCTTTTTCTTTTTGGTTGTTGTTTAATATTTTCTAAATTTTTATTTATAACATTGTAAATAATTAGATTATTTAAATTTAATGATGTTGATATTATAAAATTTTGCTTTTTATAAATTTTTAATTTACCTTTATTTGTTTAAACTTCATTTGCATTTTAATCTCATTTGCATTCTCAATCTCATTTGCATTTTCAATTTCATTTTCACTTTCACTTGTAATTTCTTCAACATCCGAATTGTTTTGATTTGCAATATTTTTATTAGGTACTTTTTCTTGAATCTTTTGTTTTTTTTTTTCTGTCTTTCATATACACCTTAAAAATCAAAATTAAATTAATAAATATACGCTTAATATATTAAAAGTTTTTTAAATTAAAAAATTTAGTAGTTTAAATATTTATTAAATAATATAATATAAATTAAAATTAAGATTTACTTCTATTTTGCATAACTGCTTTATAGCTTCATAATAGGCCCAGTTATTTTCACCAAAATATTTTGAATATTCTTTTTTTAACTAAAATATTATTAGATTTGTATATATAAATATTTATAACATTAAAAATTTTTTACCATATCGATCCAGTTATTAACAAGTGTTGGTTTAACTCTAGAAATTGTTGTATCACGTAAAATTCTATAGTTATCTAAAATAATCCCTGCCATTTTTTTTACTTCAGAAATTTCAAATTCATTTAAGGAAAAAACTTTGCTTAATGAAATTTTTGTTTGTTTTTTATCCTTTGATACTTTTGGTTTAGAAATTATCAGAAGTCCAGAAAGGTTTTTATATTTAGCTTCAAGTGCAGAAATTTTTTGAACAGTTTCTGCAAGAAGTATACTTAAATTTTGGATTTCTTCTTGTAGCGTCATTGTTAAAGTTCTAAAAATTAAAAAGAAAATAAAATTTCAATATTTATATATATTTATATTTTGATCAACACGAAATTTCTATGTATTTACTAAATTTAATTATAATTGGCTACTAATTATAGAATGTATTACAAATAGATTGTGTAATATAAAGTAAACTTTATCGTTATAGCCAGTAATTAAATATCTATTACTAATAATTATTCAAATTAAAATTCTCACAAATGGATTCAAAATTTATAATTTGTCAATGTCCAAAATATATTCAAAAAAACTCAGATAGTATTAAAGTTACTAAACGAACTAAGCTAAAACATCAAAAATACTTTATTAAAGTTGATAATATTTTTCAACTTAATTCAGTTGAATCAAATAATTATATTCATAAAATGATAGCAACGTAAGAATTTATAAAATTTTTATTATAAATAATCTAAATTTTATTTATTTATTTATTTAAACCTTAGAGAAAAAACTTCAGAAAATATTCAAGCTCAGTTAAATACTCATATACAACTAAATACAAGTATTGAAAATAGTGAAAGTTTTAATAATTTGCAAAATGAATCAGATATAAATATTGAAAATAATAGTTTAGAAAATATGAAAATTACAATAGATGAAAATTTAGAAATTAGTGATATTGAAAATTATCAATATCAAGATAATTATAGTGATAAAAATAATCAATATGATGTTAAATATGATAATAAAAATTATCAATATGATAATGAAAATTATCAATATAATAATGAATATGATGATCAATTGGAAGAGAAGTATATAAATTTATTAACAAATTATTATTTATTATATGTTTAATTTTTATTTATTAATTATTTTAACTTAATATATTTTAACTTAATATATTAGTGCTATAAATTATGTAAATAAAATGCTAATAACTGAAAATGATTTTTCTGAAGATAAATTTTCCGAAGATTTATTAGATGAAAATGAAATTTATAATCAAATAAATTGGGGTAGTTTATTATTTATTATTTTAAAATAATAAAGTTCAATATTTATTTTAAAATAATTTTTTATATTACTAGATTCTAATTATTTAATACTAGAAATTATACAAGCTTTGCAATTATTATATTTAAAAATAGAAAATCCAGCTGTTTCAAATAATTTTTATGAAAGTGTTTTAAAAATTTTAAGTGTCCTGATGCAAGTTTATATTTAGCAAAAAAAAAACTACAGCAGTTAGTAAATTTTGAAGAAACAAAAGTTGAAATGTGTATAAATTCTTGTCAAGCCTTTACTGAAGAATTTATTGAAGATACAAGCTATAAAATTTGTGGTGAATCACAATATGATAGCAAAAAAAATCCAAGAAAATTTGCTATTTACTTTCCATTAATCTCACGGTTATGAATTCAATATGCAGATCCAACTTGTACAATTCAATTAAGATATCATGCCAATTATAAATGATAATGAAACTATTAGAGATATTTATGATGGCAAATTATATAAAGAAATATTTAAAGAAGGGCTATTACCTGATGATCGTGATATAGTATTTTCTGTATCATTAGATGGATATCAAATATTTGAACAACAACATGATGATTGTTGGATAATTTTAATGATTAATAATAATTTATCACCAGAAATTCGTGTAAAAAAAAAAATCTTTTAGTAGTAGCAATTATACCAGGTCCAAAACAAACAAAAAATTTTAATACCTTTATGCGCCCTCTAATTAATGAACTAAAGCAGTTAGAAGGTAAAATAAAATTATTATTATAGATTTATTAATTTTATATTACTAACTAATATAATTTTTAAATTTAGAGAGTATTTTATGTTGGGATGCAGTAACAAATGAAAATTTTACCTTATGTGCTCATATTATTTTTTAGTGTGGTGATATTTCGGCTATTTCAAAATTAATGTATATAACAGGACACAATTCATATATGGGTTGTAGATTTTGTGATATATGAGGCATTATAAGTGGAGAACCAAATAAAAAACATGTTTACTATCCACTTATACCATCTTCAGATCACAAATTGCCAATTTATAATTTAGATAATTTACCACTAAGAACACATGAATCTTATCTTAAAAAAATTAAAGAATATGAAAATCAAGTATCTGAAACAGGGCAAAAACGATGTGCTTCAGAAACAGGTAAATTTATTTAAGCTTATTTTAATAATTATAAATTTAAAACAAGGTTAATAAAAACAACTATTTAAAATTATAGGAGTAAATGGTCGAAGTATTCTCTTTGAACTTAAAGCAACAAAGTTTCCTAGATCTTTTCTATTAGATATAATGCATCTTCTTTTTGAAGGAGTATCTTCTTGGATGTATAATCATTGGAATGGAACTTTTTTTTCAAACTCAGAACTAAATAATGCTGAAACTGAATACATATTATGCCAAAACGGATTTGGGAAAAAATTGAAGAAATTATGGATAAAAATAAAAATAACAAAACAATGCCTTCTGAATTTAGTCATTTGCCAACTAATATTTATCGATATTCAAATAGTTTTAAAGCTGAAGAGTGGACTAATTGGACATGTTTATATTCATTACCTCTTTTAGCAAATTATTTAAAAAATCCAAGGTTAGAAATTTTAATTTCAAATGGCCTAAAAAGGGTATGTCTAAATAGATAATATAATAGTTTCGACCATAAGTAGATTAAATCAGAGTAAAGAAATCGTCAACTCGCCATCTTCATCTAAAGCCACTAAACGATATGCACTAGAAAATTCTTTTTCTGAAAAAACAAATTGATTGAAGACGAGAGTTTGTAAAAGCTTGTTTCGAGAAAATATTTACTTAGATAATAATGAAAAGTCGAATACGAAAAAGTTGGATACATTGTTCAATGGAGAATAAAAAAATAAGATGAAACAAACGACTAACCTGTAAAGTAAAATTAATTGAAAAATTGAGATTTATAAATAAATATGTTTTAATTCTCTCTTTGAAGTATTAATCGAAAGGCTCATATGACGTGTGATATTATACGACAATACTATGTCGCAATGCAACAATGATTTTTTTTTAATAAGTCAATAACGA